AAAAGGAAGAGTTGGTTGAACGAAAGTCGATCAATGGTCCGATTAAGCTAAAATTTTATCAACAAGTTTATGATTCAAAGTTTTACATTATGAACGATAAAGATCGAGTTTGAAGCTCTCTAGGAACAAATCTATAGTGTATTTGTTGAGTCACCTATTTAGTAAGATTTCTCTAATTGTCTCTCTAATTATTGATTGCCTCTAGTTTTAGCTAGAAAAAAATTTTGTATATTCATTATTTGATGGTGAAGATTTTTTATGGTGGTTCGTGATTTTTTTTTTCTATATTGAAGGGTTTTTCACGTAAATCTTAGTGTGCTTTGTTTTCCTACATTGTTGATTGTTGATTATTATCTATTACTATGGGTTTATTGTAATATATTACTTTTGTGTTATTGTATTTATTCTTCAAGCCCAATAACTAGTATTAGAACCAAAAGTCATGGGTTTGAGTCCCAATAGTATTACTGGGGGGAGTTTGTTGATAAATCGAAAGTTGGTTACGTCCATCAACTCCATATGCTCGAATATCGATATTAAAAATTTCAACTTGGATGCAATGAATATATGACAATATACAAAAGCAGAACATCTAAGTGGATGATGTATTAAGTCAACCTAGAGTGTAAACTTAATGGAGTTTGTTGGGATTGTTAGGGAGATAAACTATACTTAGAGCTCATAAGAGCACACTATAAAACTCATACATACATATTGAACGTCACTTAAGTCCAAAAATTTTGAGATCAAGTGACATCTAACATATATGTATTAACTTTCTAATGTGTTTTCATAGGTTCTAAATATGGTTTATCTTTTCAGCAATATTGCATTGTAACTAATTTTGCCCAAAAAAAAATTTCTAAATAAGCATGAATATTTCCTTTTCCATTTCGTTAAAGCTTCCAAAAACGGCTTTGTCTTTACTTTTTAACTTTACCTTCTATTATTTTTTAATTATTTTATAGATAAATGAAGTATGGAGTTAAGTGAGAGAAACTTATTGTTATCAGTTGTTGGTTTTAAGCTAAAAAATGAATATAACATGACTTTCCAAATGAGCGGGTGTTGTAGCGCCCTTGATAAGCATCTGCCGCTAGCATCGCTTTGGTTATAAGCTGTCAGTTGAACGTATAAAGTAGTACCAACTATAAAAAAAGGCAGATCGTTAAAGCACCTGTCCCTCTGTGAGTGTGTCAGAAATCTAATGAAATTGGTTGTCGTAGATTGATTGGCAAATGAAAATAATATTCATTTGCTTTGCCTTGTTTCTTGAATTATTAAATTAATAAATTATTTTGTTGGATTTTTTTGATTTGATAAAAAATGGATGGTAAAATTAATTTTAATGAAATTAAAAAAATAATAATGATAAAATTAATTATTAAAATGAAAATTTTGAATATTTTAATAATAAGATTGAAATTTATAATAAAATGTGTTGAAATCCAAATGTAATGATTACGGTAAAATAAAAAATGTAAAGAGATGAAAAATAATTATTAAAGATTAAAGATGTTAAATTAAATTTTATATATAATAAAAATTTTAAATCATTTGATATTTATGAAATTAATATGAAATAGTTTTTAAATATTATTTTATTTTTAAATACTCATAGTAATATTTTATAATAATAAATTATATTTTTTTCTTTAAACATATCAAATCTGCTAATAATAAATTTTAAATGCAACATATAAAAACAAAATTTTTAATTATAAATATATATATATAACAAAATAAATATATTAAATATCAAATATACAAATCCAGCATATATAAACCTTACTTTTGACTTTGTTAGGGTTTATATCACATGTCACCCTTTTTTATTTAATTTTTATTGATTTTTTTTTGTTTTCAAGGAAAACAGAACCTTACATCAAGGTGAGGAGAGAAGGTTGAGATCGAACCCAACTTTGTATCTTCCTAAAAATTTTTTAATCACTAAATCAAAAAGTTGAATACATTTTTCTTTTATTCTTTCAATTGATCTCTTTCATTATTACCGTTCTCCCAAACAGTTTCTTCTTTCTTTAAAAATCATCTGTCTCTAACCTTTTCATCGTCCCTCTAAAACATACAAAGATTGAGTTTAAAAAAAATGATCTAAGGGATCAGGCCACAATTGAAAGGTGAAGAGGAAGTCTGGAAATAAAAGAGAGTAATGGGGTGAAATTTGAAAATAGGGAGAAAAGGAGAGAAGGAACAATGCAACCTGTCCAGAATAATAGGCCATACCAATTTAAAATTTTAAACTTAAATCAAATCAAATAAAAAATTATCTACTTAAATCAAACCAAATACTATAATTTTCAATCAATTTTTTTTTCTTCACCCGTTGTTGGTAAAAGCACCACACTCTTTGAAAGAAAAAAAAGAATTTATGGAGTTAATTACTTTGAAAAGAAAGGGTAATTCATGGAAAAGAATGAAATGATGGAGCCAGTTGGGTCATATCTCACAAACAAAGTATTCTGAATGACTGCCTGGTAAAAGGTATATCTAATTAAGCAAAAAAACTTTCTATATGTCAAAGAGTGATTAGTTCTTTTTTTTATTTTTCTTCTCAAATTGATTTTTTTTAAGATTTAAGACTGTTTGAGATAGGTAATGCTAATAGATTTTATGGTTTTCCTCAAATCTTTCAACTTCTACAATAATTTAGCTTAACAGATTTCATACCTATGAAATTTTGGAAAATATGCAGTTTTATACGTGCATTTATTGATTAAAATAGGGTCTAAAACTTAGATGAAAATAAAGTCAGTGATTGGTTTGTTACTTAGTGATACTCAAAATGCATTTATGCTGTAGGCAGACTAAAGATATTTTATTAGCTAATGAAGTGATTGATTCTTAAAATGGGGAGAAGAGAATGAGGGTGTGGTTTTTAAAGTTGGATTTTAAGGAAGTTTGATTATGTCGAGTGGGATTTTCTGATTTATGTCATGAAGTCTAAGGGATTTGGTTATTGATGGAGGGGTTGGATTAAGGAATGAATTTCTTCTGTTCTAATTACTGTATTAGTCAGTGGTCCTCCACTCTTGAATTTTATATGCAAAAAGGGTTAAGACAAGGCAATCCCCTCCCACCTTTTTGTTCATATTGTCACTGAGACTTTGCTTTAGATGATTGTAAAAAGCAAATGGTCTGAATTCATTTCAAGGGATCTCTTGCTTTTTTTTTTTTTCCTGTTAGGTCTTGTTAGGTTTGGTGGGATATTAAGGGATTCTAATGGCCTGATTTTGGCTATATTTTTTCTGGCTCTTTAGGTGTGCAAGATTCGAATGCTGTTGAATTACTTTCTACTAAATATGCTTCTCTATTTTACATCATATTCATTTTTCTATTAACACCCGTATGGTAAGAATGTAGTTTTCCAAGTACTGTCAATCTTTGATGTAAAATGAAAGTGTAGCCATTATGACAGAATTGCTACCCTTATTTTAATTTGATCTCAATTCACTTCTTTTTTATTTTCTTCTTTTATTTATGTAGGTTACGCCCAAATCCTTAACTGATGCAAAGGGTAATATTCATTTCTTATGAAGGAAAAGTTCAGGTATGAAATTGCTTGAGTGACATGGTATCTATTTCATATATTCTTATGATAATGATTTGGTAAAACAAATGCACAAACAATTTCATTCTGTTTTTGTAAATTTTGTTAATAAATTTTCCAGTGATAAAAAATTAAATATTTTTTACCGTCTTTGATTGCAAATTTAAAAAATTGTTTGAATTCTAATGTAAACTCCTTATCACTATGTGATTTTTATAGCAAAGGATTTATTACAGTTTAATTCGAAAGACAAATTATAACAAAATGCAAATTATCACCTACTTTCATATTCTTTTGACATGTAACAATTTAAAAAAAAAAAAATGAAAGATATAATATGAAAATTTTTTGGTTGAAAAAGAAATGAATTACAATTGAATATTTTACAATTTAATTTTAATTATTACAATACTCGTGCGAGTATACACATATATATAATAAATTTAAATTCAACGGGCAATTTTGTAATTATATAAAATTTGTTGCCGGGGTTAAGTATCAGAAGGATTGCTTATTTTCTAAATTAATGAATTTGTGACGGCTTGGATGGAATTTACCCTCTTTTTTTTCAATATACTAACGTGAAGTTCTCACATATGTATGTGTTTTTTTTTTTTTTTTTTTCTTTGTACAATTGTCACAGAGAAGACAAAATACAAACTCAAAATTGAGTTAGAGTGCTATGGATTCAATGAAACTCCTGGCAAGGATTATCTGCATTATTTGCTTTATTAGCCAAATAGAACAAATCTTGTACTGATAATTATCATAAATTTAGGTTCTGCATTTACCACGTCTGACATGACAAAATTTGTACCCAGCATTCAAAGAAACTTACAGACCGATTAGGGGAGAGCAGGGAAGACATAAAAGCTGTTACAAACGTACATATAACAAATGCAGCATGGTTATAAATAGAATTGATGGCATGCTTAATTTTTATATTACGCTGCATGTTTTGACCCATAACAAGCAACAATATTTACCTAATGACACCAGTTATGAACTAACCTCGGAGACTGGGAGTTTTCTCAAGTTGACAAACATCACCAGAGGCTGCTTCCTTGAATGGATTTGATTGTCAAGACATGCATCCAAAAACTGCTTATTCATTCCTCAAGATAGCAGCTGTGGCAAATTCTTGTCATCAATTATCAAAACAGCTCCAGTTTATGCTTTTGATTGAGTCTCTGCAAAGATGGCTATGCAGCACTCAAGCACTTCTCCCAAGTCCCATATTTTGAGCTAAAGCTGCCTCCACCACTCTGTTGTGCATGCTCAGAAATAACAGCCCGGGCACAAACATCCCAAGTCCTTGCTATCTCACCAAGTGACATAGGCTGAGAAAGGGTTCGCAGTGATATACTAAATCTTGACTTTGCTTTCACTGAAAGGTCTTCATACTCCTTACTGCGAAACAGAATATGAGACAAAATTAATTTTCAAGCGAAAATATCAATATTAGACGTTTAGACTCAAACCAACTTGCTCTTAACCAGCATAACCCTAAGCCAAATGCTCATAACTACTAACAAATTCTACTAGAACACCAAAAAACCTAAAATTTAGTTTAAGTCATATATAATTAACAAGTACCATTGAAATCAAAGTTACTGCACTGACTAACCAGTCAAAATGACTCACTCAGCAATTAAATCAATTAACAGATTTAGGTAAAGACAACAAGAAACTGAAACTTAATGTGAAAGAAGTTAGTTGAAGGATTAAACTAATCACTCAAGAAAATAATATGAATATCATTATTAAACTTCTCGAATATCAATAATCAAAGATTCAAAATGACAATCTCCAAAATAATCAAAATACCAATATCTCAATAACTCACAAATCCAAGCCCACTCAAAATTAAAACATAGGTATTTATAACTAAATCCTAAACCCTTGTAGAAATATAATATACCAAATATAACCCATAAGCCCTAACACTAGGAAAATAAGTGAAAACATAATTAATAGTACAATAAAATAACCTAAATATATATAAAAGCTACAATTAAACCCATAAGCTATAATAAAGAAACAAAGTACTAAATAGTTTTAATCCTTCAACTAGCTTCTTTCCATCCTCCGTCAATATCAGGTCCATGACAATGGTTCAAACCTGAAAGATTATTGCTTCGCCCTTTTACTTTTGGAATTGTATTCAAATGAAAATTTTAAGATGGCAAAAAGTGATACAAAACCAAGACACATGATAATTTGCCAAAATGAAATCAAGCAGTTTGTAAACAGAATACCTATTTAAAGAAGAGTTAGGAGAGAAATGGGTGGGCCTGGAATACAAACGCAGTGTTTCCTCACCTGACTTCAACTGGAAACTTGTCTAATAGGATTGGTGAACAATTTGGATAATTTGTTGGGACTAGCAAATGCAAGGGCTGAATCGGTGACTGCATAGCAACAAAGCACGGATAATGCAGAGAAAAACATAATACTTCAGGTTATTTCTTTACAAGATCTGAAAGCTTACCATCTGTGCTGACATGTACTGTGATTTCAAGTTTGAATTGAGAGCCACAGCGCTGAAAGAGCACTTGACAATGGTGCCTTCACCCCCTTCAGCAGTTGCTGCTGCTGCACCTGGATCAACATCTTCATCACTGATCTCAACCACTGTGTCTATTAGTCGTCGGTTTATTTCCCTTATTTCTTCCAAAAGAGCATGATTAGCCTGCCATAGGTCCCATGTAATTTTGTAAATTTAATTACATAAAGCAAACTGCATGATACTATCTTTGACAATACCAAATTATAAATAAATATTTTCATGCCAGCATCAGATGGCCTCTATTTATTGCTATGCAGAAATCAGAATATGAAAAATCAAAATGATATGGTTCTCTTTGACACAAAGCCATGGAACATCATAAAGTCAAATGACAGTTAGAGAAAAATATATTGCCTACACTCCACCTAACAATATAACTGCAGATATTTAGTGGATGTTGGATAAAAACCAAAGCTCAATCACTTCAGATTTCATATAAAGCAAGGAAGTCAAATTGGTGGACCTTGCAATTTAACTGATAAGTTACAAGAGAAACTAATATTTTCATTCCATGCTCCCCTGACTGAATTCTGAAGCTTCTTCACTATGCTTGTAAGAATTCCAAGAAAGGAAGGATCCTACTGTTAAGGGGACACCTAGCCCGTAGTCAGTAATTTTGTCACTATCATTGAAACAAAATGGATGCAGGAGAAAACCTAAGAACCCTATGATTCCAAACATGAATTAATAATGATGCCTATACTGAAAGGTCCAAAAATTTTACTTCACCAATGTTTATGTTGCATTTTATCTATAACTATACCACATGCTTAAATGTACCTAAGTAAAGACAACAACGACTAATGCCAAATATTGGAGTTCATATGCACAATTTTATTTTGATACTAACTTTTGTTAAAGCCCTTATAAAAATCAGTACATTGTTTCCTTCCAGCTTCAATAAGCAATCTCCTTAAACTTCAACTATGTTCAATTTGAACAAACTCATTACTTTAAGGACATAATCAATGCTTTTGCTGCTCAAGTTCTGCATTTGCACTATTTCTTGAGTTACTCATACGAGTCAATAATGGTTTCCTCAAGATTTTATCTCTCAAGATTAGATACAGTTGTGACTCCCAAATGTAATGAAGGATAAGCAACACTACACATATCGAATAAAAGTTGTCTACATTGGCAGGTATGACATTATAAGAACTGCAAATGTAATGGAGCACACACCAGTCAACCAGCATGAAACTTATAAGTACTCAAGGAAAACAGTCTCAGGAAAACAAGAATATCTCCGATTAAACAATTGGTAACCAGTGAAATGAGCCACTAAGGTAAATAAATGATGGATGTGATTCAGAACTTTGCAAAAGAATCCTATGTCAGGAACGACAAAGTTCAACAACTGCTTTCATTCCAAATTGAGTGCTTGCATTTTTTTTTTTTTTTTGCCAATAGTGTTTGCTGTTGACTGCACAAAGTTGAACAAAATTCTTTAACATTAGTGAAATTAAAATTTTTAAGATTTTTACCACACCGGTGTTTAACGGCTTCAAATGCAACATTTTAAAACATCCCAAAATGGAAAGATGGACATTTAATTTGGCACAGAGGCGGTTCATAGTAATTCAGCCATATATCACCAAATGCTGGAACAGGCTTCTAACAAAACAGAGCTGACAGTTTAGAAAAATGTACCATGAGCAAAGAATAATACCTCAATTCTTGGCCTCTTAACATTAGATGTTGCAGTTGACTCCAAGTCACATGTCTCTGAACCAGTTAATTGTTTGAAACTATCATTTACACTGCCTGCAGATGATACAACATTTAGAGGCATGGCACTAGTGTAGCGCCTCATTTTCTTTGTCCCACTCATTCCATCTTGAGTGATGAAATTTCTTGCTTGCAGACGACACTTTGTCATGGCAACCAGATCCTCACCAACAGCAGCTCTAGACCCATTACCAGGAGCTGACCCTGCTATCCTGTCAGTCATGCTGACAACTGAGCCAATGTCACTTACAGATGCACTCAATGCTATAGGTGACATGGATTTAACCTGAAATATACCACATCAAAAATAAAATAAATAAAATATATTTTTATAAGGAGAAAGAACTTCTAAAGCTTTCTCACAAAGGAACAAAATTAAGCACAAAAGAGAGAAGTATAAAAAATTGGGCTTCACTAACTGCCTTCATTAAACGTTCAAGAGGCTGCTCTGTGATGTTTGACTTGCTAGAAACTGTTGTCAAAGCATTAGCATGATTACCATCTGCACCAGTGAACTCTGCTAGCAGAGGGGAGGCTGATATCCCAGGAGTGCCAATTGCAAGCGACTGGGAGCCTGCTTGAACACCAGTTCCTTGCTGATGTCCAACATTTGCAGCATTTGAGAGAGTGAAAGTGCCTGGAACAGGTTTTTCAGATTCCCCAGGCATAGGTGATGGAGCCAAGGGAGGTGAAGGTGAAGGAACAACAAAAGGAGAGTTTGCAGATTGCAAAGGGGTTCCAGTTTTTGACATAGATGCTAGCAGGCTTTGCTGATCAACCTGTGGGGAAGAGAGTTGAGGCATCTGAGGAGATGCAGCCTGAAGGAGCTGAGGTGAAGAAATAGGAAATTGAGCACCTGGTTTCAACTGTTGATGGGTACAAGGTTGACGTTGACCTGCTGTGAGATGTTGTTGAAAGACCCCTGGCTTAACACCCATTCCCTGCCTCATATCATTTACATCATTCATCTGATGCAGCTGTGACATCTGGTGTGTCTGCAATTGTGTGGGTAGCTGTTGCTTTGCTTGCTGTTGCGGCTGCTGCTGCTGATGTTGTTGCGGTTGTTGCTGTTGTTGTTGCAGTAACAGCTGCTTCTGCTGCATATATTGGTGCTGCATCTGGTGCTGTTGAATCTGTTTGTTCTTTTGTGACTGAAGCATTTGCTGCTCCTGTTGTTTCAGATGCTGGTGCTGAAGCATGTTGGAATTTGACTGAAGAGGATTCATGTTTTGCTGCAGAACACTTAACCCACTTTGTGATGACAAACTGTTCATATTTGCCTGTTGGGAGGTACTAACAGGATTCGGTTGTAAAGATCCTGGAGCAACCTGCGGCATTGAGCCTAGGGCATTACCTTGTGCTGAATCCAAATTGGAACCAGGCTGCAGCGAATTTAACATGGTCTGCTGTGCTGTTGAAACCCCAGGTAAAGAAGACAAAGAATTATGCTGCAAACTTGTCATGTTGTTCAACTGCAATGTTGGCACAGAACCTTGTAAATTTATGGAATGCAACTGAGGGTTCATTTGATTATCATGAGGCTGTGTATGATTAATTTGAGGTTGTGGCTGCTGCATGGAATGCATATGAGGTGGAGGAAGCTGTCCTTGATGCAGCAGTGAGACAGGCTTCCTTGGCCTATTGATATTTATAAAATATATTATGAGCTTCTCATAGGAACTCAACTTATCCTTGACAAGGGGTGAGATACTGGCTTTGGAAACTGATAAGAAGGTTAAAATTTGCTCCAACTTGGTTTTAAAATTTCTCAACTTGCCAAGCTGCTCTGACTTTGGTTGCTGTGGAAGAGAATCATGCTGTAAAAAAGAACGCATAGAATCATATTAACAGACACAAGTAAAATTGCAAACCACTACAACCAAGATAAGCTTAAATGCAACCACTAAACAGTGTATCCAGGAGTGGTATTCAAGTAGCGACCCAAAAGCAGGATGTGAGTATGGTGCAGATACAGGACAGCAGAGAAAATTAAAGATGCGTTCTACCACTTTGGAAGTGGAGAATAAATGAAGAAGATTATGTAAAAGGATTAACCTACCTGCTGCAACTTGGCATCAATTTTATGGTACATCTCATTTAATTCAGTGAAGTATGTCTCTTTCATGGTCTTGATCTGCAACATAAAACCACAAAGGCAGAATGGTTAACCAACAATTAGAAAGATTTTTCCATTTTCAGACTAACAGGGAATGATTTTAGTTAAATGTATCAACAAATGATGATTAATTTGAAGTCAGGAATGCAAGATATCCTTGGTCTATTTGACAGTTTTCTTCCTCACCAATTATAATAGATCTTGAGTAGAGCACTTCAGGAATTAAATAAGCTTCATTTTCTTTCTTCTAAAACAAATAAGTCATTCAAAAATGCCTGAATGTCTTTTTAGTTCCTAATTCTTCTGTTTTATAGTTCCAGTAAGATGAGCATCCCAATATGCTTTAATAGTCTTTCTGAAAACCACTTTCTTACACCTTAAAACCTTCTTGAAACCAAGTTGTAATGTAATACCATCTACAGGAGAATATGTCAAGATAGTTTTTACCTTCTGATAGACCTCTTCTTGCCAATCACCCCCATTTGCATGTCCTGTTTGAGCTGTAGAATCTAAGGACGCTAACAAAAATATAAACATTGCACACATAAGAAAAGTGGAAATTTCTGGAGGAGAAGAATAAGGAAAACATAATTTAAATGAAAAGAAATCGTTCCATAAACATAAAGATAGATGATACTGCTGCAAATATGTAAAAGAACATTGAAACAGATGATTTGTGGAAGAAGGGTATATTTTGAGCAGAAAACAACCAACTCTCACAGCAAAATAAAGTATACATAGCATAGATGGGAGATGAACAGGGATCATAATGCAACCAATGACCAAATACCTATGTCATAAAATTCCATCAGACCTACCATGGGATACAACCGAAAAAAGAGTTGGAAGAAACTATGTGTAAACATTTTGCACATGGACATATGAAAAGATTTTATTGCTAACTTGAACTTTTTTTACCACATGGCACACATTAATATAAAAAAACTATTTTTAATAAAAATACACTAATAATTGTTTTTTAGAATATAAAATTCTTAATTATTATTGAATTAAAATGTAATATGAGATTTTTTGACTGACATGTGTGCCAAAAACTAATCCACCTCAACATACCAGGTAATAACTAAAATTCCATGTTATCCAAATTGAAAGCAAAATCTTAATATTATTATCAATTGTCCTTATATTTACTCTTAAGTACAAGGACTAAATTCGATAAAATTGGGTTGAGGGACTAAAACAGTATGATTGAGACGGTAGAGGGGCCAAATTCAGACTTTAGCCATCAAAGTAAAGCATTAAAAAAATCTATGGAACAACTTAAACTAAAGAAATATAGGGTTCATATAGTTAAATCTACAACAAAAATCTAAGTCTCAACAAAATCCATGAGACTCAATCAAAAAACCATTAAAACAATTTTCGGTTTGGAGACCCTCTTTAACATTTATGCATGCAAGAACCTCCTCGCTTTTGCCCACTTGCTTATCTAGTCATTCATTATACATCCTTCATCCAAGCAAAACTCCTCTAACATTTGCAAGCATGTTTACCAACTAGTTTGATGCAAACAAAGTAACTAGCTGTTTTTTTAAAGCAGAACTTGAGTCTCCTAATCACAAGTTCATGTTAAACAGGACCACTTGTTTCCTTTGCACAAAAAACACAGTTTATTCCTCCCTGAAGAATGTTTTATAGCCAACATGAAAGCTCATAGAATAAAAGAAAATGAATTATTTGTTGATAAAGTGATAGATTAAATCCAGCAGTTGCTTCGTGGTTTGACAAAACCATTGGGCAATAACTGCAACAAAGGTTAAAAGTAACATAATAGCAGTGGAGACCTAGCAGTGACACCGGTGACAATGTTTCTGGTGGCACCAAAGGCCAGGCAGTGCCATGTAGCATCGGTTTGTTAGCTAACAACTAATCACCCAGACAAGATGTGAGGTTCTGATATGTGCCTTTGATGGGGTAGCATAGCATAAATTTAAGATATTCTCTTAATCTCTCACCTTAGAATGAAAATTACTTTCTGCAGTAGAAATGCAACACAAAACTAGCATCAACTAAGAATGTTGTATTGTAGGCATAAAAGAGAAAATAAAAATTTCAGGGCTTCAAGGTTGAAATGTACTAGTATCAGAGGCAAAAACTGTCCACATTAGTTAAAGAACACAAGATCAGAAAGCAACAAAGAAAAAAACAAGTGTAGGCAACTGCGTAGATTCAAAAACATACTCGATGATGTCTCCAGAACAGCTCTCTGTGATTGATACAACTGCTTTTGCTGATCTATTAAAGTTTGTGATTGAAGTAAGGAACTTGTTGCTTGACCTGATGCTTGAAGCCTCTGCTGCATATTTTGTCGTAATTGATTGGGCTGTTGTTGCAAACCCAACTGTTGCTGCAATTGTGTAGACTGTGATTGCATCTGCGACATCAGTTGCTGCTGGTGCTGCTGCTGTGGTTGCTGAGACATCTGTCCTTGAGTCGGTAACAAATTAGGTGCACTCTCCTGTGTTTGTTGGAGTGGATGCTTTGGCTGGGGTAGCATGTGTAAAGATTGCTGATTAGTTGGCATGCTTGAGTTACCCAACTGGGTTCCAATCAATTGCTGCTGCTGCTGTTGCTGTAATCCTGAAATATTACTCTGAGGACCCAACTGTTGCTGATGTATATTTGAAAGATTGTTTTGTTGAGCCATTAACTGCTGCTGCTGTTGTTGCTGCAGGTTTGACAGATTACTAGACTGGCCTAGCAATCTCTGCTGCTGAATGTCCCCAATGCTGTTTTGCTGTCCAATTAACTGATTCTGCTGTATATTTGCAGCATTTGTCTGTTGTCCCATTATGTATGGCTGCTGCTGCTGAGGCATCATTGATTGCTGTGTCATTGGTGTTTGTTGTTGATGAATACCACTACTGGCAGCCTGTTGTGGCTGTTGCTGCTGTCTAAGGACTGACTGTTGATGCTGCTGAAGCTGCTGCATAGAAGATTGCTGACTCTGTTGAAGACCAGGAAGAGTAGTTGATGACAGGGAAGATGGCTGCATGATAGATGATGTTTGCATACCAGATTGCTGGGAAGATTGCAGCTGAGCAGCTGGTAACAGGTTTTTCTGCTGTTGTTGCTGCATGTGAGGCTGCATAAGTGAGGGTTGGAGACTTCCCTGTTGAATCTTTTGCTTCATAAGTTGATGATGGTACAGATGCTGCTGCTGCTGCTGTTGTTGTTGCTGCTGCTGCTGCTGCTGTTGTTGTTGTTGTTGCTGTTGCGGAAGCACTTGTTGCCTTCCTTGCATTTGCCTCTGCTGATTAGCAAAAATATTGGAAGGCACCCCTTGCCCCAGGGAGTTCTGTGAAATTCCAGACATGCTCTGCATGTTGGAATTCTGGCCAACAACATTAGGAATAGGATTCTGTGTAAGACTAGAGACAGAAGGCATTCCAGCTTGAAAACCAGCAGAACTTTGAACTCCAGCAGATGCCATGTTAGTTGGAACATTCTGTGGTAACAGTTGCTGACGTGCTTGAGACTGATTACTTTGTAATGGGATAGGAACTGATGGTCCTTGACTGTGAACTTGGTTCTGCATACCCTGAGAACCTACCCAACATTTTTATATTAAGAAAGAGAAGTTGGGGAAGAATCCACAAGAACTGAATTGAAGAACATTTAGAACAAGATAAACAACAAAAATAACCAAGTAGTAATTAATTCATTTGAAAAGATAACTAGACTTAAAACATGTGAGGCAATTGAAACATACCATGGGAACGAATCAAAAATGATAAATTTATTCCTAGGATATGCAGTGGTGTATGCCATGCTAAAAGACTTCAACTATGGAAACAGCAAATATGGCTTTCTATTTGGATGCTCATCAAATCTATCAGTTAAAACACCTCTGCCCACCAAAACAAAACTTACCCTACCTGGTTAAAGTATTACAACTGCTACACTACAACAAGGGGGCAAAAAGAATAAAATATAGGAAATTTTCATTCGAATGGATGCTGAAAGCAAATGAGCATACATTTTGTAAATTAAAACAGCTCTGCATGGAAAAGAACAGAAAGGACATATAAATGGAAACTATCCTACTTCTACAGTACATCAAAGTAAAATGCTGTTTCCTACTATTACCTGGATCAGGGGGTTTGCTGTTATTCCCAGTATTGGGTATAGTATTCTGAGACTTGGTCTCCATCGTAAGCATCTTCAATGATATTCTCCTTAGATAATCAGGCTGAATATGGAAATCCATAACACCTTTAGATTAAACAAGTTTTACTTTATTATTCAAATATAAGAATATTCTCAAATATGTTATATGTCCCATGCTTAATATCGAGTTAACATTTAGCATCTTTGTTTTTTACTCTCTCCTCTCTCTTTCCTCCCTGGGTTTCTTTCCTATGGACTTCCAACATAAGTAATAAGGTAAGGAGTTTGGTGTATGCATGCCTATGCATATGAATAGGAAAAAAAGAAACATGCAGATGCATTCACACAATGCAAACAGACAAAATATTGGCAAACAACAATGCATTCAAGCACATTAAAGAATGCCAGCAAATCTATGATTACCTGGCCGGTTGCTGCCGTAAAAATCTTTTCCTCGAACCTTACTGCAATTTTCCTGAGTTCATCTAAACCATCTTGGCCAGAAAATGGAAGATGCCTCTTCAACGTATCCATTCTATGTGTGCAAGCCATTGCATCAGTTATTATAACACAAACTAAGAAATTTTTTTGTAAATGTATATAAGAATCTTCAAGTGGTAATTAAATAAATGCTAACAACACAAGCACCAAAAAATTTTCCCCTTTAACTTGTCAGGACTGTCTACATTTAAATATCCCAAAGTCACAGCACTGGAATTTAACAAAAGTTCTCCCAACAAAAACAAAGCATTCATGGCCTTCATATATCAGCTACATTCAAATGATCACATACCATAATTTCCATTGTTCAGAGAATGTTGTATAAAAGCAAGGCCACTACTGTCAGTTACAGTAATAAGTTATTTAATGAGTGGGCATAATTCAGTTAGAACAAAAGAGAACCACCAATTCATATACAGTACCACTTGAATGGGGTAACAAGTGCCATGAAGCCAAAGATCCAAAATGAAAATGCATCTTTATTTAATCACATAAATTCATTAAATGATGATGATAAGTATGCCACGTAAAGTTGGACCTAATAGCTTAGCCATTTGACTCTAGATAAGTGGCAAATGTATAATGCCCAAACTCTGGGTAAGAGCGTGCTTTGGTTCTCAAGCCATGTATTTACAAAACAAAGTAAGCGCTTCAGAATAGGAAATAAGTTGGTTATTAACAATGACTAAGACAATTAAGAACAAGCCACAGAATCTACGGTAAGTTAAGTCATGCAAGTATATTTAACAATTAACAATACCATAAAATTCACTTACATCTTGTTGACAATTCTTTGTCGTGAATCGGGCGGCAACTGGGTTCTCCAATCACCTGTGTCCATGGTGGGCTCTCCACTTGGAGGAGTAGGCCTCCAGTTATTGGTATCCATTAAATCCTGACAACACCAAAATAGAAAAGAACAGTCACAACTCGCAAACACTTCGAAATGAATTTTTTTGTCATAAATTAAAGAAAGTGAAAAAAAAAAAAAAAACTAACAATTTTACTCCGGATAAGCAATACGTTTGACAAATTTCTTTTCAATAAATACTTCCCTTCCCCATCTTCAGTTTCTATCTCTTGATAAGAAACTCAGTGTAAAACACATAGTTGTTAAACTTTGTCTTTTTTTTTTTTTTTGTTATAGATACCACATAGCATAATTTTATACATAAAAGCAGGATCTTATTTTATGTAATGTTGTAACATAATTTGACAGTATACATCTTTGGCCGCGACATTTTTAGCTCTTACAAAACAAAAGTACATTTTACTAGACACAGACACACAGTCACAGACACCCTGCAACCCTGATTGAAGTTGAACTTAATCTTTCACTATGTAAGTCACAATTTTACACTTGGATGTCAATTTGGTTGATTTAATACTAATACTACGTAAACTTTCTTTGCAGGCTGTTTAAGATTCGTTTTTTCTTTCATACTAGGCCATTGAAGGAGGACCGTAACTCATTAAAAAACACCACTAGACCAGCACATCACTGCCAAGCTATGCTCATATTCAACCAATTGCTATTTGAGTAAAGGACTTAATTGTTAGCAAGCTGCTGAGAATGCTACCTGGACTCATGGCTGTGAAAAAGTTGAGCCCCTTAACCAAAAGCAACTGGAATTGAAATATTTTTGGATGACCCATTTTTTTACATTTTCCCAATGAAATCAACTCTTAAATGGAACTTTGTCATAAATTATTCAATGAAAAAAAAAAAGAAAAAAAGATTTAGAAATATGAGCAAAAGCCACAATATAAGCCATTTTTTAATAGAAATAATTTGATCTTGGGGGTTGCTTTCTTTATTGGGTATCCAAATATTCTATCAAGATTGCTAATTTTTTCACATCAAAAATAAAAAATAAAAAATAAAAAAATCCACCAAGTTAATTGCGTGGTAATAATAAAAAAAAATTATAGTTAAAAATCAAAAACATGTTCCCAGGTAAAATTTTGGAGGAAAGTAAGGTAACAGAATCCTTAAACCTAGAAAAGTTAAAATTTTTACCTCAGACTTCCAATTCGAAAACGGAGTTCCGCGAATTCCTCAAGATTTTTTTTTTTCAAATACCAAATCCACCGATTGAATTAAACAACGCCGCAGGATTTTTTTTTTTTTAATTGGAATAATTCCCAATTCTCACCTATCAATAAATATAACTACAAGAAAATAAAATCAGGAGAATGAGCTGAGATTTATTTGTTTGCTTGAAAAGAAAGCTAAAGAACACGAAGGGAAAAAGAAGACTACCAGATAAAAGAAACGTCAGGCTTGCACCGAATTGAATAGAAAAAGACTTTTCTTCATAGAGAACCGTGTTATGTATATGTATACTTATACGTATATATAAATTGTCAGCGTTTTTTATTTTAGGTTTCATAATTAACAGCACGAAATACGTCATTAGCTGCCTTAAATATTATTTTTGTCTATAACTTTTAAAAAATTTTATATTATTTTTCAATCCTCAAAATATGTATAATTTTCGTTGTGTGACTACAGGGACATGATTTATTAAAGATATTTTTTATTTGAATTTTTTTTATTTTTTAAAGGTCTATTCCAATAGATACCTTTTTCACATAAATAAAAATTAAAAAATAATTAAAAAGTGATTGATTTAATTTATTAAAATTTATCTTTTTTGAAGAGATTTTGAGTTTAAGTCATATCAATGATCACTTGTTGAAGTCCTCTCAAATGCACGATCTGTAGTCACTTACTTAAATTGTCAGGTACGACACATTTTACCTTAACTTAAGAGATTGAATAATTTATCTATCTTTAAATTTCTTTTACCAAAAAAATTAAAAAGATAAAAAAAAGAAAAATATATTAAAAAATAAATCCAAACTATAGAAAATTAAATTTTTTTTCTTTAATTATTTTTTTCTCTTCCTCTCCCACTTTTCCCATTGACAAAGGTTAATAAACGAAGGTTGAATTCGACTTAACAGATGTTAATCAGAGCAATCCAATCATTATCGATTTAGCAAAATAGACAAATCAAGTTTTTAGCTTGATTTCTTCCCCTTTGTCAAATAAATAACAATACAAGTTGCTTTAACCACAGTCAAATACGATGGTGTTGGCTAATTCAAATCTAATTTTGATTAGTGTCGATTAGTCTTTGCTGATAATGATAGAAGAAGGATATAAGAAAAAAAGATTTTTTTTTCAAAAAAGCATTTTTTTAATATGTTAGGAGTTTGCTGACATGTGATGTCAATTGATATTTAATATTAAAATAAGGATTTCAAAGATAAAAAAGATACATATTGAGACAATTGGGATTAATATAAAATTTTTTAGGTTGCATACCAAAATGATATTTAACCTAAAATTTAAGGATCATTCTTGTTATTTACTTATTTGTAATGTCAATACTTTTTTTTAATTAAAATTAATGACAATTTCAAAAAAAAATCCCTACTTTTTAATTTTTTTATCAATTTTTTATTTTATTTTTTCCTTCTTTACACTTTTGAATTTTTCTCTTTCAAATTTGTACATTATACCTTTTTTTTTTATTAACATGTTTTCCAATCGTGAATATATTTTCTATTGCCATCATATACTTTATATCTACATAGTAACAAACCTAATAGGATTATAAATTCATTCTCAAATTTTTTTTCTAATTTTTCCAAAATTTTAGGATTGTAAAATTTGTTTATTTATTATAATTAATTTGTACAATTGATCGATTAAGTGACAAAGATGACATGTTTTTATACTAGATTTCATTAGGCTATATGCTCACTTTGATCCCTAACATTTGAGAGTTACTCAATTTATTACTTAACTTCAAGACCTAAGTTATTTAAGATCTAATAATTAAGTTCTCCGAATGATGAAATTTGGGATGTATCGTGCATGTGCAGTTAATTTTGTCATGCGGTTATTATACCTATCAAATAATACAAATAATATGACATGTAGGATGCCTATATGTAAATTATCTTTAATGTTGATGAAAATGGGCCAAATTCAAATATTTAAAAATGAATCCTTCAAATTTTATTTTTACATGAAAGTTTCTCTTTTCATCTTTTAAAACAAAATCTTTTATTTAGGAATAAGGTGAAAATATTTAGTATTAAAATGTTTTCTACTTCTCCAATATTTAGACATAATTTCAAAGAATATCTCTTTAACTGAGATTTTCTTGCTAATTCCTAAAAAAAAAAAATGGCATAAAATCCCTTTATAAAGAATAATTATTAAGAAGCCTTCAAATATCTAGGTAGGATTTCAAGAATTATTTTTACTTGAGAATATTAGGTAATGTTTGGCTTCAGTAAATAAAGTCATTTTCTGTTTTCATTTTTTAAAAAAATAAAAAACATGAGTGAAAAAGTATTTGATAATTGAAACTAAAAATAAGTTTTTAGAAAATAAAAATGCAAATAGGTTAAAATATGAAAACAAAAAAAAAGAGATGTTTTTAATTATGAAAACAAATGATGTACATTACTTTTTTCTTTTATATTTTGCAAGTTATTCTATTTGAACACTTTTTAAATATATAAGCCAATTTCCATGCCTTTGCTTTAGAATTCCTTCTGCTCTCTTTCTCTAAACTGAGAAGCTCTGCCTTTTCTCTAGAAATCTCCACTGAAAACTTCAATCGAGATAAAAAAATTCATCGATTTCTAAAAACGTTATCAAAAAATTCAATAAAAAATTGAAAAACCATAAGTTTTTGGGAAGTTGGCTAAAATGTGATAAAAAAATTCAATCGGTCATCAAAAACTTCATTGAAAAATTCAACCAAACCCAAAAAAATCCAAAAAAATCCAAAAAAATTTTTAGATGATTCTAAGCCCTCTCCAAACCTTCTACAACCCTAAATTCACCCCAAAAACTTGAATTCACCTCTAGAATCCATAAATCAACTTCAAAACCCCAAGATCAAATCCCAGAAACCTCTATTGCCAAAATTTTCATAATAATTTTCTTTTCATTCTCTTTGTGTTTCTGTGTGTGTTCTTACTCTGTAGAATAGGTCTAATTTATAGGCAACCTAGGATCAATTCAAGAAGTGGATAGAATCAATCCCAAGCTTGATTCCTGAGATTGCATTCTGTCATGATTTTTCATCCATTCAAATAATAGAGGTATGCAGCCCATAAAACATGCCTTGTCATCTATCTACAAAGATTCAAAGATCTGATAGTTTTCACTAAGATAACTGATGAAGGGTTACATCTTCTTTCAATTTGCTCAAATAAATCCACCTCTTCTATTTCAATGTGCCTTAAGACCTTGAAGAAGATGACCAACCCATATATGGTCAAAGCAAATGCATTCATTCCCTGATCATCGTTTGGATGCTTGATGATGAAATCTCAGAGAACCTCTAATGGAATGCCCTTGTGATCTCTTTTCTCTCAGATGTATGAATCTATGGTCTCTTTCTCCACTCCTAGCATCTGACCTAGCTTCCTACAACATTCTAATTTGTGTTTCTTCATGTTACTCTGTTCAAATATAGTAGATGCACACCTACTAAAGTTGAATACTCTTCAATTATCAGCATTAGATCAATCTCATTAAAGATGAAACACCGATAGGAAGGGTCCTAAAACTGTACCATTACCCTGATAAGTGAGTAGTTAACTTTTACTAATAAGAGATATGCAATACGCCCAAACTTCTTACAAAAAACCCCATGCCTTGAAGGGTCATACCATTCTATGTGTCTAATAGGTTTTTCAAGTCATTGTGTTTAAGAAATATGTGGACTTTTCTTGATAGTGTAAGAGTATGATCAGGTGGCAAACAGTCTCTATCCTTTAGCTGCCTCTTTTTTTATTTCAATCTTACTTTCATGGGAGAATCACATTGGGACAGTATAGATGAGGCACAAATCTGACATTTTGTGAAATCCATGAGGGTTTTTGTTGAAATAGCTTTGGGGAAAGAACACTATGTAATCTGTAAACATGTTCATGAATGTGTGCAAAAAGAAATATAAGAAGATAAAAAACTTAGTTAGTCATTTCAATGAAACATAAAGGAAAATGTAACAATTAAGATAATAACATGACCTAAAATTTTGGATTATCTACAGAAGGTGAAAATAAGGCCCTATCTATGGTTGGGTTTCTAAAGTCAATTATATGTAGTTTGGGCCATTTTTGAAAGGTTTCAAATTATTCCTTACATCATGGTCCATTACAGACTAGTAAGACACCCCAGTCCTCACCCATTATAGGCTTCAAGCGAAAAAGATTCAATCTGAGTGAGAGTATTTTGTAAGCCAATATGAAGACATGAAATCTCATGAAGACATAGATACTTCACTTTCTCCTAAAGGTAGAGTTCGGGTAGAGGGCTTATGTTATACACATGTAAGTGAATGACAGATATAATAAGCATATATTTATCAAACTTTATTTTCACACTCGAAAGTCAATTAGAGAATTCTATCAAAGCACTTGGCCAGAAACGAAGACTTAGATGGAGTGGAAATGTTTGCTACAATGGCTCACAGTCGATCAGGTAAAGTGATTAGCTCTATGGATGAATAGAAAACCAATGTTGTATCAATGTGGATATGAGATAGGGGTTCCACTTTTAGGCTTATGGGGGTAACAAGTTATGCACCATTGATGGTAAAAACGTAGCATGAAGCTGAACAGTTCACTCCTATAACTTATAAGCTTGACCAATTTGACTGCTTATATGGGGAACCTAAAACTTTTCAAAATATTGATAACATGATTAAGGCCTGAAAGAAGCCTAAGAGAGTAAACCTAGGGCCGTTCATTAATAGGGTTTTAGGGATATCTAACTTGAAAAAGAAAAAGGGGTTAAGAGATTGTATTTATGCCTCAGAATCATCGCATATCGGTGAGCCAATAATCAGACAATAAGCTTTCTGAATTAGAGCATGAATTGAAAAAGGAGAAACTGAAGTAAGAAATTTTGAAGCTGTAAGGAGAAAAAGACTAGTGGCAGAATAAAGCAAAAAAATTAGAGGTCCAAGTCTACAAGATTTTTAAAGAGTACAATAAAGCCTAAAAAGTTGTTAGAGAATGAGATAACGTCGTAAAAGAGCTAAAAGAATTACAACAAAAACATAAAAGATTACGCATATAGGTACAAGCTAAGGAAATAAACAACTTAGAGTTGATTAAAAGAGCATGACCAAATAGAAAATGCTTTCATAGAGATTAAGTTGGAAAAACAATGGCTTTAAGACCACATTTTGACCCTGATATCAAAGTTAAGTGAATAAAAAAATTATGTCAGGTTTCTTACAGAAAAGCATAGGGAGTTATCCCATCAAGTGTGGTGCAGTAAAAGAAAAAAGCTAGAAAGATAAAGATACATAGAACACCTCACTGCTCAGATAGGTAAGGCAG